TTATAAGTTCCTCTTGACTTATTAAGGTGTATGCAGTATGACATAGCATAGCATATTATAACATATACTCAAACATATATAATTCATGTGTACTGTTTATTTTAAAATTTATTCATCCTGTAGGCGAGATTCCTACTTACATGTTTTAAGGAGTGGAATCCTCTATTCGCCACACTATATGTTCTCTTTCTTGCTTATTTCTGAGAATAAACACCCACTAAGAGTGTGAGATTAACTATCACTTGCTATTCTATGTTAACAAGCTTATAAGAAAATCTGATTTCTCTACTTATAGCTTTCTTTCTCTTTCCTACCTTTAAGAATTGAAAAACCTTGTTTCAAACTTAAAGATTAGGTTTATTGAATCCTCATAACCTTATTTTTCCATTAAACAAGGTCCAAACTCAAAATACTCTCTTGAGATTTTACTTCGAGTTCCTTAATGAACTCTTCTGTTTAACACCGAAACTGTTTTATTAGTTTTGCGATGTTTTCTAAAAAACTAGTTTAAAGCTTCTATTTAGAATTAAAACTAAGTTTTAACTTCAAATTCTCAAACTAAAATTCGGTAGAGTTTTACCTGATTTTTCTACGTTTTCCGAGTTATTCTTAGCTCGTTTTATCCATTAATCCAACTCTTAGACATAACCCACAATCTTTCTCATATAATCTTTATCATCTTAGAAACCATACTCTAGGGTTTTATCCAAATTCTCATAAGAATTTTCATATCCAAAAGTTGCTAGAAACATAATCTAACAACCAAAAATTCAACCTTTAATCACTAAGTTTTCAATTCATTTATCAATTGAAATTCAATCATCAACTTAGCAAACTTTCTCCATACACTTTTCCACATCCATGAATTCGGCCAAGGTAAGGAAATGAAAGAAAAAATTGAAATCTCACCTTAAAAGAATGAATAACAAGCTCAGGAGTCTCTAATCCTCAGCAGTTCGATCGATTTCCGCTCGCTTTTCTTCACTTTTGGTAAATTGTTTTTCTCCTCTCTCTTGGATGAACACTCACTGGTTTTGGGCATGAAAAAGAGTGTTTTATTGTGTTTTTGCACTTAAAACACGTTGGAGGAAGAAAAGGAGGGGCCTAAGAGCAATTTTCCAACTTTTAGGGTCTTTTTTACAAAAATCTACTTAAAATATCTCTTATTGGCTTCTTCTGCAAGCTTGGCTAGCCACCTCACTAAGCAAATGGCATGATCTCAGCCCTCCATCCAAAAAGTCACTTTAAATCTCAACCATCCATATTTAATGGTTATCTCTTTTCCCATTCAATTTAATTTCTAACCGGTACGCGTTTTATCTGCGTTTTCTAGACAGTTGGTCAACTTGGTCAACTTTACTAAACCTTAACTAACTTTTCAAGAGTGACTTATTGATCGGCTCTTGGTCAATAAATTTTAACTTGGTCAATCCTAATCGGTCGGAAATCTCAATTTTCTCGGTTCAACCTTCTGGACCCATTTTTCATCTGTTTTTCATTCTGATTGTTTCTAGAATTGATGTTTTTCAATTCTTTTTCACTTCTTAACCTTAATATTCATGTGTTGGCCCACTTGTGGGTTCAACACAGCATTCTGCACTTCTTTCCTTATTGCAGTCCGTAAATCGGTAACTGTATCATACTTCACTTAAATTCTTAGGAGACGTTTGGTAAGGGGATTCATACCATGATTTGAATAATGGTTTATGGTTCACTACAGTGTTTTCTCTCACAAACAATACACGTAAATCGAAAATGGTTATAATCTCATGATTCTAATCCATGAACCAAACGTCTCCTTAATTACTTACTTGATGTCATCTTGCTGACATAAGCAAAGGATGATAGATAATTTGATTTTATCCATTAGGTGCTCTTATCTCATTGGCCGGCTACACTCATCCAATCGTTAATCGCCATTTGGCCATCTATGTGTCCGGCCGTAATTGGAGAAGAAAACGAAAAGATTTCCAAATTTCTCATCTCCAATGGTTGATCAGCATTTGTTCCCATCATAAATACAAGCTCATCATTACTTCCTTAAGCTTATCTCTTAAGGTTCTCTATAAAGCAGCCCAGATTTATATCGATTGTAGGGAATTAACTTAGCCGATAAGAAATTTTTGTTTCCGACAGTTCCTTTTCTGCTGTTTATTTGTAGTCTGATACTAATCCATGAATAATTTAAGATCGAATTAAGCTCTTAATGTTGTAATATTTCAGACTATTCCAGTCTTGAAAACATTTTTAGACTGCATAAATTTTAATCTTAATTTTTTCTGCACTATATCCCGAGAATGACATCATTTCTAATAGTATCAACTCCCGAGCTCATACTGTATCTTTATCTTTCTACTAAAAGCTTTACCCTTATAATTTCCCTTATCTGTTCGGAAATTAAGGGTTTTCTCTTTGAATTTCAGAGCGTTTATCTATACGATGCTAACATTGTACCGTACTAGGAGATTTCTGAGATTAAATTCTCAAACTGTATATGCACTGAGAATTCTTTCATCTTAATTGCGGTAAGAATTTATCGACTGAATTTTCTTGCTCGTAATTTTATGAATTAATCAAAAAATTTGCTACAGAATTGAGGAATACTGATATTAATTCCATAAATCCTTCAGTCACAAAATATGACCTGATATTCTCGGGGAAAAATCCTTGACTTAAATAAATAAATTTACATTATTTAATTTTAGGATTTTCTCGGTCATTACAGCCACTAGGGTTTTTTTAGAAATCCTAACGGCGCTACAGTGGGAAATTGATCCGCTGCGGCGCCAATACGCGTAATGCTGTCATTTTAGGGCTGATTTGAGGGGAATATAAAAGGCAAATGTTCTAAGAATCAAATTGGTGGAGGAAGAGAGGAAAAAGATGCATAAAATCCCTAGAGAAGAAGGAACTTTGGAGGTTCAACTCCCATGATTTCATTGAAGATCCTTGAAGAAGATGGTGGATTCAAGCTTAAAAGATCATTCTTCGAACATAGTTCTTCCTTCTCCCTTTATTTCCTTTTTAGTTTTTTAGATTTTATTTGTGGTTATGGATTCCTCTATGTTAAGCTAGAATATTATTTTAGGACTTGATGCAACCTTATTTGAACTATGTTTTGAATATTTTGCCAAATGTCAGTTTGATTTCCACTTAATTCATTTGTGTTTCTCTATGTTTATTGCTCTAATTTCTATTTTCATGGATTAGAGATATAGATGTGTGAATTTGGACTCGGGAGAGTTACTTTCACATGTTGGAATCGGGAAACACAACCTAGAGTTAGTTGAGTTCTGGAGGCCAATTAATTGGGGTAATCAAAATTAGGTTGCTTAATGGATGCTTGATTCGGTTAGGCTAATAGGGATATTGTTTAACTGGGTTTTGCATACTATTTTGCTCGGCACTCAGGAGAGGGAGTGAAATTAGCTTCGAAAACCTAAGATTAATGAATTGAGTGGAATTGACTAGCATTAGTTTGATAGGATGAACATAGGAATAATAAGGTGAAGTTAAGTCCCTAGTACATTTGTGCATAGAAGTTTCCATATTTTATCTTATTTTAGTATTTATATTTGTTCTAGTTCTACTTTTATTTCATTAAGATTCGGTTGCCTAGATAAAGTTAAGTTACGATAATTGCGATACTTAGCATCAATTTAACACTCAATCCCTGTCAAGACGATACTCACTCACCCTACACTATAAAAACTTGACACCGTACGCTTGTGGGCGAATAAGTTTTTGGCACCATTACCGGAGATCGAACCTGGGTCGCCCGCGTGACATACAGGAATACTCACCACTATACATTCTATATTCTGATTATAAGAAATAGTTTTTTCTTTCTATACATTTGTTTTCACGTGCATAACAAGTAAACAAGGCCTTTAAATATGAGCAAAGAGAAGGGCTCCATTGAAATTTTGCACAAGATCCTCCAGAGACTCTCTCTTTCAACTAGTATAATTAGAATGAAACATCCCCAGTAAAGTGTGAACCATACATCTCGAAATGGCTTACTTGAAAAAGGAGATTCAGGATATATCGAATAAGAAAAATAGTATCAAACAGTAAAGTTAATCAGCTGAGGTTAAGGCTATGTTTGTCATGAGGATAAAAAATAGGAAGGAAAGATATATAACCTAGACGAGAAAAATAGAAAGGAAGGCGACAACCTTTCTCTTATTGTGTTTGGTACGGAATCCGCCCTCTAATCTCTCCATATTTGAAAAGATTAAAATCACTGTACTTTGAAGGATTCACCCAATCCATTCCGCCCTCTTTTCTCTCCTACCAAATAACCGTTAGTCCCCCACCCCTCTCCCTCCCACTTTCCCCTCCTGCCGACTAATCAAGCTCTAAAGGGAAATCCAACCAAAATCAAGTGCTTGATGTTGACTACTATTAACCTCCAACTACATTCACATTTCACTAGCAATACCAACTTTGGAAATCTGCGATCAAGTCTATTTTCTTTGAATACTGGAAATAAAGTGGCACTTACAAGACGGGAAAGTCTAGACCTTAGTGGCACAATATTGTCAAATTTTTCCACATGCCACTTATTTATTTATTTATTTATTTATTTTTCTATGCCCGGTAGTAGAATACACATAACAAAGTCTATATAGACCAGAGAAGAAATAAACTTTTAACAAAGAAAATAAATTCTTCCCAAAGAAAGATAAAATCATATATCATATACACTCGAAATATTGCAGACATATAAATAACACCCAAAATGAAAGTATATAACTGTCAAAGAAAAAAAAAAACGAAAATATTACGCTATATGCTTCATTAACTAAACATAACGTAATGCTTATAACTCCCTAAAAGAAGAATCTTTAGGCTAATTTTATAAAGCTAAGATTCCTTACCAATAACCCAAAAAAAAAAAAACAAAAAGCAGAAAAGAACCCTAAGGAAACAAACAAGCATTCGAAGAATTCAAGAATTTCATGTTATAGATAAAAGGAAAAAAAGAATTACGTTACCCAAACGAATCGTGGACGATTCTCGAAATCTTCATCTTCTTCATGACGCCCTTGTAAAGCTCCTCCAAGCTACACGGCAACAAATTCTCCACCGCATTGGCCTTCCTCTGACATCCGCCGCCGCCGCCATTATTCCCTGCGAAATCCGCCGCACCGTTGGAGGTCCTAAAGAACGCGCCGCCGTCCCTGGAGTAACCCCTCCCCCTGCTGGCGCTCCTCCCGGAGGTCGCGCCCTCGGATCCGAAGATCTCCGCGAAGATGTCGTCGGCGTCGCGCGGATTGAACCGGAACGACGAGGAGTTCGGGTGGTGCTGCCGGAAATGGGACCGCGACGAAGCCGAAGAAGAAGAAGACGACGGCGGCGGCGGGGGAAATTGGCCGGACTTGAGAGCCTCCTCGCCGTAGAGATCGTAGATCTGGCGCTTGGCGGGGTCGCTGAGGACGTCGTAGGCTTCCGAGATTCGCTTGAACTTGGCTTCCGCTTCGGACCGCTTGCTCGCCGGATTCTTGTCAGGATGCCATATCATGGCAAGCCTCTTGTACGCCTTCTTCAGGTCGTCCTCGCTCGCGTTCCGATTCACCTTCAGTATGTTGTAGTAATCAACCCCCATCGTTCTCTTCTCTTCTCTTCTCTTCTCTTCTCTTCTCTCTCTCTATATAGAGAATATATTTATATAATTATGTATTTTCTGTCTAATTTTTATTTTCAGAGTTTAAAAAGAAAAAGATGGAAAGGCATAAAGAACAACGTTTGTAGTTAACGAATTAGCCAGCTTAAACAAAACGACGCCTTTTGGAGTATTTGAGTAAGCAATCTTTTTTTTTTTTATCCATTTGAATTTTGAGCAAGCAATCTTCATTCCCTCACTTTAATGTTTTTATTTTCCAATCCTCGGAATAATTTTATTAATTAGTAATTGATGCCTTTCTTCTTTTAAAATTTTTGACTTCTTAGTCTAGTTTTATAAGTCTCAACTTTTTCATTCGGTCATCTTTTTTATTTGAAGATCCACTTGTATTTAATGAGTTTTATTCTTTCAGATAGATTTATAAATTATCATAATGAATTAGAATACATAGACTGCATCTCGAGTTTCATAACATCTTATCAATTTTTTTTATCAACGTCATTCGTTGTCAATTTAAAAATTGATAAATCTCAACCGTCATCAATAGTAACGATTTAAACTTCTAAGTGTATCGGTCTACAAACGTTATGGTCTAGTAGTGGAGGTTTTTATTATCTTCTACTTTTGTTTTTTTTAGTTCTCTATTGAGATGGTTCAATTTTATTACCATTTTACTTTTGAGCTTCTTATTTAACAAGTTTTTCTTCTTAGAAAAGGTTAACTAACAAGACAACAATCATTTGCTTCTTAATAATATACGTTAAAGTATGTGAGTGAAACATTTCCAACCTGTCTGAGTTTCATCGTTCTTAAAATCACAGCAACACAATCTTTATATTATTTGCACTTTGCAAATCATTTATTGCCAATTTGGTTGCTCACTCAAAAAAGTCGTCCTTTTCAGTATTGACATCGAATAAATTATATGTCACTAACCCACATTGACCCAAATTTGTGCTTCACAAATTGTAAAGCAAAAACAACAAAAAATGAATAATTAAAAAATTTAGGGAAACAACAAAAAGATTAATTCTCTTATATTGTCGTTTCTTGGTTTTCTTGTCAGTCTCTCTCTTTTCTTTATTTTAAGCTCGAACGACGGCGCCGTCTCTGAGCAAAGCCTCCGCCGCTCTCGTGCCGGACACCAACGCGCCGTCAAACGTGGCACTCGTTAATTGGTCACCGCAGAGGTACAAACCGGGACCCACACGAGGATCTTTCATCAGATTAGTTGGCGGGCTCTGATTGGGCTGAGCAAATGCAATCCTGTACGTCCTCAAGTGCTTCCACGACCCCACGTCCGTTCCCTTAAACCAACGAGAAATCTCCCGGACAACCTCAGCCGTCAGATCTTTATCCGAGACGCCCTCGAACCTCCCGATTAGCGACACGGAGACAAGAGCCTTCCCCGGTGGGCCATACGATTTCGCCACGTTGGTAGCGAAGAACATGTTGTTCACGATCCCCTCCCCCGAACCGTTCAGAAACAGAACCGGATCCTGAACCGGGATTTTCTCCCGGTCCGCCGAGAAATACAAACAAACCGTGCTCCGAGCCGGTTTCCTCTGAACCGGCGGTGTTTTATCCGCCAAAAGCTTATCCGCTTCAGGTTGATCAACGGCTACGATTACTCCCAGCTCGCTTTGTAATATCTCTCCGGTTTGTAATATCACCGCCGGAGAATCAAACCCCTCGGAATCGATGGAGACAGCTCTGGAATTGTAGAGGATCGAACCTGACGGCAGTTTCGCCTCCAACTGCTCGGGAATCGCGCCGATTCCTTTAGCCGGAATAGCGTTGTCGCCGAGAGCGAGGCATTTGAAGATAAAATCGAACAATCGAGAAGTCGTCTCGAGTTCCTTGTCGAAGAAGATCCCCCCGAAGAACGGTCGGAAGAATCGCGAAATGATCGAATCAGAAAATCCGGCGCTTCTGAGAAGATCGATCGTCGGAACCTCATTCGCTGTCAGGATTTCTTCGTCTGGCTTGCTCAGTACGCGAAGTCTCGTCGAGGCGATGAGCAATTTGTCGAGGACGGATCCGATAGGGTTGGTCAGCGACTGGACGGAGTCAAAGAAGTGGCAGATTGGATCGGCGACGGTGTGGAATTCCCCACCGTAGTAAACCCTAGCGCCGGAGTAGAATCGCTGGAGGTCTAAGGCTTGGTAATCGAGAAGCTTCCTGGCTTCAGGATAAGCGGTGATGAAGATCTGGAATCCGCGGTCGAGGAGGAAACCGTCGACGACGTCGGTCCGGACGCGGCCGCCGACGGCGTCGGAGGCTTCGAGGAGGAGGAAGGAGACGTTCTCGCAGGCGAGACGCGTCGCCGCCGCGAGACCGGCGAGGCCGGCTCCGACGATAATGACGCCAATGTTTTTTGGAGAAGACTGGGAGAAGTTGAGGTTTGGTTGTACGGACGCCGGTGAGGAAGATGCTTGGGGCTTGAATCTGATGCGGGAGGGTCTAGGTTTGTGGGAGAGGGAGGAGCCAGAGCCAAGAAGGGGGAGATTGAGTGGCTGTGTGAGTGTCATTTCTGAGATTTTCTTTGGGCGATGGAAGCTGGACAGTTGTTTATGTTAGTTGGGAAATGAATTTGGAAGTTTGGAAGTTAGGACATACGTGGCTTATCCATTCGAGACGAAAGACATTGATAAGCCAGAAATGTAAGTAGGTGGGTCCTACCTTTGACACGTGGGTTAGATCATAATGGGCTGCTAATTGGGATGAGTTGGGCTGGGCTGAACTTTCGTACTATGGCCGCAAAGACCCTTTTATGGTATTTTTTCGCAGGATTAGTAAATAATATTTTTTAAAAGCATTTGAGGTAAATAGTAGTATTTTACTTAATAAATGAATTATTTACTGTGTAAATAATTTATTTATGATTGATAAAATAATTTATGTGATAAAAAATTTTTGTTTACATGAAAATAATTCTTTTTATCAGTCAAAAAAAAAATTTACGTTGAAAAAATATTTTTATTAGCCCTAAATAAATTATTTATGCGATAACTTCTATTAATTTCATATAGTTTTAAAATTTGTTATTTATTTAATTTAGTTTCAAAAATCTACCAGTTACTACATTCTCCCATATAATTATTTGACTAAAAAAAAGGATATTAATTAAAACTAAAGAATAAAAGCTCAAATCCATGCACTCTAGGGAGTATTTATCATTTTTTTTCCTTTTGCTAATCGATTAGGGACTCTCTCTTACTTTAGGGTGCATGGGTCTGGATTTGTGCCCTTATTTAGATTAATACTCTTTTAATTAATATAATTATTTTATTAAAAAATATTAATCAAGAGTAAAAAGAATATTAATTTAAGAGTAAGAGGGTAAAATTCTTTTATTTTAGATTAATACTCTTCTAATTAATATAATTATTTTATTAAAAAAATATTAATCAAGAGTAAAAAGAATATTAATTTAAGAGTAAAAGGGTAAAATTCATACTCACACTGTAATGGGTATTTATTTACTTTTCACAATTTGTTGATAATTTGGTGGGGTATGTTTTGTGCGTTCTAAGATTTTGGGTTTTTGGACATAATGCTCGTATTGAAGCCATTAATTACTATTTGGACAAGTTTGTAAGGACATTGTAAGGATACTTTGGCCACTAATGCAAAAAGGTCGTTTATGACTCGATAGGGAGGTTATTTTAGCATAATTTTAAGAACGCTCAGGATAATTGTAGCATTCTTGAAAACATCAATGAGATGTAATATTTTATAGAGGTCATGACCTCATCTTTCTTTCTTTTTTCTAATTTTTTTTTTTTAACTTTCTCTCTTTTTTTTTTTTTATCTTTTTCCATTTTTATCTTTTTTTTATTTTTCTTCTCCTTTTTTTTCCTACTTTTTACTAATCTTTCGCTAAACATCTAACATCTAACAATACAAAAAATAAAAGAGTCAAAACTCTTTTTTATAGTGACAGTATCTTCATTTAATTTTTTTTTTCTTTTTTAAAATATATAGTTTCTCATTTTACTTCTATGAGAATTGTTGTGTGAGAAAATATGCGCTGACATGTCGAATGACGACCATGCTTGACGTGGCCCTAAACTCGCCACGTTAGGTAGTTGTCGACGCCTAGAGCTCATTCCCCCCCCCCCCCCCCCCCACCCCCCCCCCCCACCCCGCCCCCCGCTACATCTGGTGAAAAGGCCGATCGTATGGAACGATTCATGCAACCGTCGACCCTACCTAACAGTCAAGACTGCGTGAATTGTTCGCTGAAGAAGTAGTACCGAGAGACGGTTGACCGAGACAGAGGCCGCACCCTGTGAAGTAGTGTAGGCGCAAAGGGCAGAACGCATGAAAATGGGTCCACGTCCCAAGAAAGACCTCTGAGGTGACAATGGAGAAATCCCTAAGTTACGTCTGAGTTTGGAGAAAGTTAGTAGCACAGGAAATGATTACCTGCCCATAAACTGCCTAGAACGGACCAATGGAAATCACAAACCATATGTAAAGCCACAATAGTGGACAAAGTGGGTGAGTGAACAGTCCGAAAAGTGCTGAGAGGCTACGGTCTAAGCAAGTAGGGTAATAGGCTACTTGAGAAGAAACCATCAGAGAATCCTCTATGACGATCGGCCCTTTACGTACCCACATGTAATCTATAGGGTATAAAAGGGGCAAAGCCCCAGAGAGGAAGGGAGAGTTTTTTTTTTTTTTTTTTTTTTTTTTTTTTTTTTTTTTTTTTTTGTAATCTTTGAAGAACAAAGAAAAATACCATAAGCAGTGGATGTAGCTCTTTTTTGATAGAGTGAACCACTATAAACTCGCGTGTCTTTCTACTTTCGTTTCAAACGACAAATCGATACATCTTTCAATATACCTAAAAAACATACACAATTAGTTGCATAGATCCGATAATATAACTAGTTTCAGCCGTAACTCAACGGACCACCGAGAGGTAATCTGACATAATCTTGTTGATGAAAATCCACCGTCAACAAGAGTAACTATTTTTACATGTGTTCCTATTTATTTTTAGTTAGTTAAAATAATTTTCTTTAAACGTGTCTCTACTTAATTTTTTTTATCAATTTCTATCTTTTCACATATTTCTTTCTAAAATAAATATAAAAAACCTTAAATTGTTGTATAAATAAAATTTTCATTTTTAGTAAACAATAAACTCTTCAAGTGTCTTTGACACGAAAATACGTGCAGAACATGTTACAAAACTAGTTTCTTAAAAATGACAAGAGACAAGAGATTTGAGTACTCGTGTTCTCGTCCCTTTTAGAAATTCGGAGAAAGAAAAATTCTTGTACAAAAAAAGATGTGCAATATCTCATAAATTAGTGTTCCTTTTTTAAAATAGCTACAAAATCATAAAGGCTTGAAACTTTTTCTGAAGTTCACAACCCAGTAACACCTTGTTTTCTGCACAAGTACTAGAGAATGAAGACAAACACCAAGACAAGCGAAAGAAAAATAAAAATAATAACAACAACGGGATACAAACAAAATATACAAATGTGACACAAAACTCTTTAAACTGTTGCACAAAGATGCCGACAACTCTAGACGTTATGCAGGCCTCTAATGCAAGCTTCATTCAGCCCCAACTCCAAGCAAATGGAAATGAAAGTCAGGTCAATGCAATTTCACGAGTATTCGTCAGCATGGTCCGATAACTCTGTTGTCGAATTCAAAGCTCATATTTTCTCACATGACGAGATGCTAAAATTGTCAGGCGCACGAATGACAAAATGAAAGGAACACTCAGCAGCTGAAAACTAAATGGAGATTGTGTAAATTTTGGGCTCATACTGCAATGGCTTGACCGGTGACACTGTCGTGAAGGTGAAGAGAACCATCTTTCATCAGATTCAGGCTCAAACTCTTGAATCTTTCCCTTGAATACTGCCGAGAAGCCTTTCTCCAGTCGGTTCCAGTTTTCATCATAGCAACAAATTCGTCATAACTTATGCAACCATCCTGCAAAGAAGTTTTGCGAAAAGTATATGAAATGATGTTACAAAACGGAAAAACTCACGGTCGACTTTCTATTACCATACGAACATGCTCTACAAGTGATGATGAAAAGCGTTGAAACTTGAAAGTCAAACCTTGTCTGTGTCAACTTCACGCATGATTTCATTTAGCACCATGATATCAGTTTCCCCTGATTCGTCTGCTAATGCTTCCCTTAGCTCAGTCAATTCTATATATCCACTTCCATCTTTATCAAAAAACATAAATGCCCTCCTGAAATGCTCATCATTCTCCATCCTCTGCAAGTGAATTGTCACTGCCACAAACTCTCCATAGTCCAGTACACCATTCCCATCAACATCAGCCTAAATAGAAAGTGCAAAGTAACTTTCCATCAGCAATTCAGCATGTTTTTATTCAGAAGTAATAGAAGAGGGAATGTGGAATTATCGATGATAGATGAGCCATGAGGTGAACGTGCAGAAACAAATTAACGCAATTTTCATTCTGAACTTGATCGTACAGACTTACCACTTCCATGAGCATCTTAATCTCTGCCTCAGCCAATTGTGAACCAACCTTTCGAAGCCCAGCCCTTAGCTCCTCGTATGTTACTTTGCCATCTCTGTCGGTGTCCATCAACGTAAACATATCTCTGATTACTTCAACCTCTTCAACGGATAAGTGCTCCGCGATGACCTGTACATTTGTTTAAAACAAACACAAATCATCAACCCATATGCATACATTGTGCATCATTGAAACCGCATGGGACGTGCAGAACATCAATCATATATGCTTACCCGTAATGCTCTCTTTTTGAATCTATTCATGACAGAAAACTGCTTCAGCCTTGTCCTCACAATATCACCTAAGGGAACATTTGAAGTCTTCTTTGCGTTTTGTATCCAGGAATGTTCTGTATTTACAAAATGAAATGAAAAATTAAGCTCGTTATCATTTTCTGAATTAACAGAAAAGCACGTGAAATTATTGGTCTCCAAAAATGATAAGAATTAATTTAGCTTGTTAAATACGTGAAGGAATGACTCAATATACACTTAGTACTTCTACATTCTCACGCCCATGAGATTCTTAATCTTTGATCAAGATATGTTTTTGCAAGGACATGGACAGGTTGGCAATTCAATTATTCTTAGGGATTGTCGCATGGTTCCATACTCCTATATTAGACATAAACCACAGTCCATAGGTACACTCTTCTACATGAGGGACAATGACACTTTATTCATTGAACTACAAGAATCCTCCCAAACCCCACCCCAACCTTCCTCTCTCTCAACCCAATCTCGGACATAGCTTTCACATTTCCATTCTTCTTCTTCTTGTCCGTTTCTTGTACAATCATAAAACTGTAGAATATAGTCACCTGAACTCTCTTTCTCACGCACAAAAGAGAAAACAGAAAAGGCCATCTACTAAATTCATAAACACGACTATTTCATTTAAGTCACTTGATCAACATGTTTAAGATTCGGCACCAACTACCAAACCCTTTTGCAGGAACTTACCAAGCACCTGTTGAGCAGTCAAACGCTTTCGGGGATCCGGCTCTAACATCTGCCTAACAAGGCTTTTAGCACTTTCAGAAATTTGAGGCCACGGCTCCCTTTTAAAATCAATCACCCCCCTCAAAATTGCGAGAGCCACTCCCTGTTCAGTCTCTGCCAAACATCATAAAAGAAAAAAGTACCGAAGTAAATAGAATAAATTCACAACCAAGAATTAAAACGAATCTCCCAACTTGGTACAAAATTAAGAAATGATCATATTCCATATCAGGAATCAGAATACCTGCCCAAAATGGAGGAACCCCACATAACAATATGTAGAGAATCACTCCGGCACTCCAAATGTCAACTTCCGGCCCATAATTCCGCTTCAAAACCTCCGGCGCCATGTAGTACGGACTCCCCACAATCTCCGAAAACCTCTCCCCTACAAATCATTTCATCAAAGAAATCAGAACCAATCACAAATTCACCAAAAACACACATTAACGTGTCTCAAAAAGCACCCATTACTAAAATCATATCATAATCATACAGAATCAAACAGCACGTAAATCTAACGAAATACGAAAGAAAAGAAAGAAAAAAAAAAAAACCCCCCTTAGCATACTTACAGAGCTTGAAGAGTTGCAGCACAATCATTTCAAAATCAAAAAGTATGCAAATCTAACAAAATCCGCGGAAAATTCCTTGACATACCGGGCTTGAAAAAGACGGAGAGGCCGAAATCGATGGCCTTGAGAGGCGAGTGCTCCTTCTTGTTAGCGAACAAGAAGTTCTCGGGCTTCAAATCCCTGTGCATAACGCCATTGGCGTGGCACATCCTGACGACCTCCGCAATTGTCTTCACCACCGACGCCGCCGCCCGCTCGCTGTAGTGGCCCCTCGCCACGATCCTATCGAAAAGCTCCCCACCCTCGCAGAGCTCCATCACCAGGTGCACGTTCTCGTTGTCCTCGTACGTCGCCTTCAGCTTCACTATGTTCGGATGCTCCGGCAACGTCGCCATTATCGCCACCTCCCTCCTCACATCCTCTATATCAATCTGAAAACCAAAAAATAATAATAATAATAATAATTCAAAATTAAATAAATCAAAATCAAAACTTTTTGGCGAATTGTTACAGCTGTTCTGAGCTTCCGCTTGGAAATGGACTTGCAAGCTAGGGCTTCTTTGGTCTCCCTATCCGTACAGAGATACGTGATTCCGAACTCGCCGCGGCCTAATTCCCGGCCGAGGATGTACTTGTCGCCGATCCGAGACCGGTGGCAGAGCGGAATCACGTCCTTGAGGACTCGGATCGGAGCCGGCGACCGAATCGAGTTCTCCGAGTACGGATTTGGTCGCCGGTCTCGTGATTTCTTCTTCTTGTTGTCGTTTTTCTTCTTCTTCTGGTTGGTCTTGTTGCTCTTCTCGTCTACTACTTCGGCTCTCACGCAGGCGTTGCAGTTCCCCATGTTTGCTTTACTTACTCTGCGTTCTCTCTACTCAGCCGTCGCGGGAAAGCGGTTGCGTTTTGGTGCTCCGGTGGTGGCGCCGGCGAGTCGTCTTCTCCGGCATGGGAAAAGAGAGAGAGAGAGAGAGAGAGAAAACGCGGGGCAGTTGAGAAAAAGGAAGCCTTTTGAAAAACGGGAAATCAAAAAATCCCTTTTATTTATTTATTTGTTTTATTTATTGAGGATATTTATTTGTTATTTATTTATTTAGCCGTAAATGTAATTATGTGCGTTACTTTATTAAAGAAAAATAATAGAGTAGTTGTTTTAAAAAGATAAAAACATTTTTTAGATTTACGAAAGTAGCCTGGAAATGATTACCTACATGCATGGCCAGGTGGATTGAAAATGCTTTTTTTTTTTTTTTATAGAAACACACGGAAAGGATTACTAGACTTGGTTATTTATCCTAATTTTTGAACTAATTATAATTTTATATATTGATTTTGTAATTTATTGATAATGTCACAAAGTTTCAAATAATATTATAGTAATGCACTACAACGGATCATGATTTAGCATTTTTCAAGTTTCTTCAATTAAACATACCACGTAAATATAAAATTAAAAATTTTATGGTGTAAAATTCGCATGTTCAATAATCTTTGATGGTTCTTAAAATCTCATAAATCACCACCGAGGTGAAAATGTAATTTTTATTTTTGCCAATTTATCATTTTTTTTTAACTGGGGGGGAATTTAAACTCTAAACCTCAAAATTAAAAAAGGCTGGATTGCTCCTTTAGATAATGGGATTATTATAGTTTTTGTTAATCATAGTTTTGGGTTTATCAAAGGTCATACTCGTTTCTTAAGCATAATCTATGAGCTTGACAACCAGCAGGCGTGATTTGTTTAACAAATACATTATAAATCAACATACACGTATATGTACATCAATACGTATCTTCTATGTGTGTGTATTTACCAGGTAAAGCTACAGATGAGACCAAAACCAAGTCCTATAACTAATATTATCCCTTTGAATTTAAATGTTTTTAATGTGTGGATGATGTAAACGGCTCGGATTTATAGGGAATGAAAAAGACATTTGTTGTTGAGGGTTTTTCTTTTTTCTTTTTTTTTTTTTGGTAAAACATTTGTTGTTGAAGTTGTTCAACGAATTGTGGAAATTATTTTCAGAAATAGTTTGACCGAATCATTAAACCACGGTCAAGAACTAGATACTAATAACTATTAACGAATAGCTATCTATTAATTATTATAATAATAATAAAACACGTATTGCACTTGGCAAATCAGCGTTTTTTTTTTTTTTTTTTTTTTTTTTTTTTTGTCATGGAATTGTAATTTTTCACTTTTCCTCACTTAATTTGATTATATATACACATTTTATTTTTCTACTGTGTTATTTTCTGCTTACCAAACAAGTACACACAATTAGAGTTAAATTCTAGATAAGTTTATTAGGCTAATAAAATACCATAAATATGTTTCTTCTTAACTTTTCTAATGAGCAAAATATAATTAACCAATATGAACGGCAATTAGATTTCAAAATATAATTAATCAAATATGAACGGTAATTAAATTTTAAACGTTGAATAATGAAGATTAATCGTTTATGAGAATTCTCTCTTCTTGTCTTACTTTTCTCAATTGAATGGGCATTTCTTAGCTTGTCTTCTGCAATCGATTAGTTGTAGAAATTTCCTCAGAAATTGAGGATGACGTTGACTATCTACAACTTGGTCTCTTAATTGACTTTTTCTTCTTCTGCCCCTTCCTAATTTTTATTTCTTAACTCATTATTATTGATATTGTATTATATACGCCTCGTTCATTTTACCGATTCGAGTTTTAGTTTTTACAGTAAAAAATTCTTAGAAAATGTCACATCTAACTTTTTCTGCTACAGTGAAAAGCTCTAAAAAAATATCACATCTCAACTCGAATTAAAAAATCGAATCTGCGAAGTGAACGAGGCCATAATTACTTCTCTTTGTAATTCTAGTTACACACCCAACCAACAGCGGACAACTATAGATTGCTTATTAAAATTTATAACTTGTAAACACAATTAATGAAAATGACTTCCATTAGTTCTTCCTTGAAAAGAAATGAGAATCTTTGATATTTCTCAACAATGGTAAAATAAGTCCAAACTAGGTTTTGTAGTTTCATGTCCAAATCTTGTTTTTGGAACAAAAGTTCTAACTTGGATATGCATTTTTCTCCGTAGAGTTAACTTCTAACTTCAACAATTTATATGCATTTTCCTTAGCAATAGTGACGTGAAAATAACTGTTTTTTTTTTCTTTTATGAACTTTTTTTAGGAGGACTTTCTATCAATAATGTTAATTTATGGTCATGATCATTACATCAGACTAAAAAAATATATAGAATAAGTTTTTTTTCAATATAAATCTAACAGCTGAAAATAAAGAATTTTCAATAGTTTATTTTTTGGTTAATATTATAAATGGTCTATGAAGTTTAACCTCAGTTTTACTTTAGTTTCTGACTTTTAAAATATCTTACAGTTGGTCCATGCGGTTTTATTCGGTTTCAGTTTTAATCCTTATGTTAACTTAGTATTAAATATTTAATGAAATATGTGTAAAATATGAAATAAATCAGAAACAACTAAAGTTTAGGGTTTTATCTGTGAAAATTAACTTTTATTTTTTTATTGTTTTAGTTTTTAAACTTTAAATTTTTATAACTTTAGTCTATAATTTTCACATATTCTATTAAATATTTAACACTTAATCAATATAAGAATTGATACTAAGACGAAATAAAATCACATGGATCAATTGCGGAACATTTTAAAAGTAAAAAGTTAAAGTGAGATTGAAGTTAAATCTTAAGAATCATTTACTATATTAATTCTTTATTTTTTGAAGACCTAATACAGAAATCTCCTTTTTCTTTGTGCAGTGAAAATTAAGTAAATATTATGATGGAATCAATGAGGAATTTTGGTTTGTGGAAGTAGGTGGATGATTGGTCAGTCAGCATGGAGGAGTTGATCGAGTCCATGAAAGCCTACTAAACCGGAAAATTTGTACATTCCACAAAGTTATAAAAAGTCAACAAAAATGATGAAACATCTTTACCAAAAGCTGGAGTGCAATCGCTAGTTAGCCTTATTTCTCTAACAAACATCTTTCCTTTACCCCAAAGTAAAGGGGGAAATTGCAGGTTGAAAGTCAATTATACCACTTTTACTTTTACTCTGACAAAAAAAAAAATCCAATGGGAAAAGTTTCCCAGCTATCTTCCCTAATTACCCTTTATTATTTCCTAGTTATTTTTTTAAAACTCTAGTATTGTTTTAGAGGTCTTTTAACACTTCTAAACTCTTTGTTCTTTCTTTGTGATTTGAGACACTTTGGTTCCTATTTTTTCTTAGCAATCCAGTCCTTGAATTCATAAAGAAATGGCAATGAACTCCAACCCTGAGTGGGACTTAAAATTTTATGAGTAATATAAGGAGTAAATTTTTAAAAAAATAAATTTTCAAGGACCAAAGCGCTAAATTATAATAAATTCATGGAGCACACACGCTAAACGTTCAAAATTTACCATCTATTAACGATTGGAGTTAATTGCTATTATTTTACAAATTAAAAGATTAAGAGGATGTTTAGTTGAAGGATTTAAACCATGATTTAAATCATGGTTCATAGTTCGTTATAGTGTTTTCTCTCACAAAAAATATACGTAAATTGAAAATAACTCTAATCACGTGATTCTAATCCATGAACCAAACGTCTCCGTCTTCTATGAAAAAAATTGCGGCGAAGGACGTGGGAATAGTAGGAATCAAAATGAAAGTCTATTTTTTAAGTCATTTTCTTTCCGCAGCCTCCTTCAAACCCTGTTCCACCCAAATCCTCTAATGCGACTAGACCAAACAATCTCAGTCTTCTTAATTTAAGTCAAGTTTGGTTTGCTTTAGTAAACTTTTTGTCTAAGACTAATTAGAGTATTGTGATGAATTATCACAGCAATTACACTTTGTTTCTGAAAAAGGGTCTAAAGTTTATATTTAGGTTTTTTTTTTTTTTTTTTGAAGGAGCATTAAATTTTTACAAAAAATATAATCTAAGATAACTATTAATCTTATTCAACTAAAAAAAAAAAAACAACAATCGTGAGTGCTTCAAATGATGTCTAAAACTTTATTTTTTAAAAAAAAGCCACAGAGATAAATGGAATTTACAGGACAAATTCCATAAAACCTGTACAATTACTGGGTCGCTATTTTTAAAGGATTATAACGCAATAAAAACCAACACTGATAGTAGTAGTATAGCAGCAAATGCCGACATATCAGAGTTCTCTCTTCTACTAAAATGGTATTGATTCACGTTGTTTATTGTGAGGTGTAATTATGCATTTCATTAACTTGCCAAATATAGCTTAGGTTGATATAATTTTTGACTCTCTAGATGCTAAGCGGTGAAAATATGAAGCCATGTTCTCTCTGTTTATTGTAATCTCAGTAAATTGTTGAGGAGACGTTTGTTTCTTATATTCGTCTTTAATTTTAAATCATGATTCATAATTTTTTATAATATTTTTTCTTATAAAAATTATACGTAAAACAAAAATAATTCTAAATTATAATTTTAAATACATAAATTAAACGTCTTTCTGAGTAACCGCTAATCGAGAACCTAAAGACACCCTTGATCCGTTTTTTTTTTTCTTTTTTTTTTAGCAGACAAAAAAAAAATAGACTATTGATTGGCAATAGTAAGTATAGACTGTGTGGCAATGGATATTAGGGTGGGGCCTCTTGGGACACGTTGAGAGCGGCATGAGATTGTGACGTTTTGACTGAGCCTTGCAAGTGGTCAAGATTTCGTAAGTCACACGCAACAGTTTTTGAACAAGTATTACTCTTCCTTTAGGTTGTAGGAGTGTCCCATGGGCATGCAGATTGCAGAAACAAAACAGTGAAACATATTGAAGGGGCAAAAAAGTGTCCCATATCAATGTAATGTACTATGACTTTTTGAGGTAAAAAAAGAGCCCTTTCATAATTCAATAATACTAAGAAAAGAAAAATAAAAAAATTAACTCATTTATTTTATATACTCAAACTTAAATCGTTGATTATCTTATAGTATTTTTTTCATAAAAAATTTAAATT